CTCCTCACCAATTCATATATTTTATAACAGAACATAAATTCAGCATCTCTTCACAATCTTTCCTTTATTACTTCATTGAATACCTAGCAGGCCCATGCTGGTCACTGGAAATAGAATGATGAATAAGACACAACTCTTAAAGTGTTTATGCTCTTGGGTCAGATGGGGGAAATAATTGTACACCATATGTGTGGGCAAGAAAGTACAAAGTGATACGTGGGGAAAAGTGAGACAGTGACTATCTATTGGGGTGAGGGATGAGGGAAAGGAGAAGGAAGAAAAACTCCACAATGGAGGTGGCCTTTATGCCTTAAGTTATCTGCAGAAGTTCTCCTAATGGAGAAATTGGAAATGACATTCAAGGCAGAGAAACTAGCAGCTGTAAGTGCACAGAAGAGTAAAGAAAGGAGACACAGTTTAGGGATAACTAAATAAACTTCTGTATCACTGAAGTCTAAGTTATCTGCGATATAATAGTGAGATGAAAGAAACGATGCAGGAACTAAAAAATGGGTCAAGATACAAAGTATGCTATGGTAAAGAATTTTAATTTTATCCTAAAGCAGAGAAACATTTCTTTTTGGGGAATATAATAGCTTAAAAAGCAGTGTGGAGAATATACTGGAAGTGGTTGAGCCTTATGGCAAAGACACCAGTCAAGAGTCGCCTGCAATAGTTCAAAGACAGATGAAAATCTGAATGGGGAATAGTGAGGGGCCACTAATTAAAGGAATGTTTAGGAAGAAGAACCAATAGAATTTGAGAATTGGTTGTGTGTCTGTATAACATGAAGGTAAGAAAGGAGTGAAAAATAATTCTAGGATTCTAGCTGGGATGACTTGCAGGAATGGTAGGGTTTTTAATGGAAAATTGGAGGAAGGAACAAGCCTCAAAGGGAAACACAATTCTGGATGTTTCAAAACTTATTTGGGCTACTTAAAAAGAGACATCTATATACAGTTGGAAGTGTGTACGTAAGAAACTAGAGTTTTCACTATGGAATAGTAATCAAAAAGATTACTATTTCAAAAAGAAAGAGGATACAGACACTCAGTCCTTGTAAACATGTAAAGTGAAAAAGCCCTATGACACAACACTGTACTTCAGTGCCTACTGAGCTGATGGAGAGCAGAGCCGATGACAGAGATCTAGAGAAGGAGTAATCAGAGAGGCGATGTGAAAGACGTGTGAACACAAATGAAGGAGAGTATTTCAAGGAAGAGAGAGTTCAAATGTGACAGAGAAGTCATATTAAGCAAGAAATGAAAAATGTCCACTAGAGCTACCAAATAAAAGATCGTTGGTGAGGTGTTGAAGTCAGATTCCCATGAAGATACAAGGTAAAGAACCTGACATCACTAATATAGTCTTTAAGAATTTCAGTGATGGAAGGCCTAGTCAATGTATTACATGAATGTTAATAATTACAATTTTAAAAAGTAATTATAGAGTACCTACTGTCAGGCAGTATACGAAGCACTTTACATGCATAAACTTTAATTCTAGAATGCTTACATGTTTCTAAAACATACTTCTTCTGATGCCAAATTCTCATCAAATTGCTGATCTTCTAAATAGGGTGCCTGGGTGGCTTAGTCAGTTGAGCATCCAAATCTTGATTTTGGCTCAGGGTATGATCTCACAGGGCTGGTGGGATCAAGCCCCATGTCAGGCTCTGCGCTGACAGCATGGAGCCTGCTTGGGATTCTCTCTCTCCCTCTCTCTCAGCCCCTCCCCTGCTTCTCTTTCTCTCAAAATAAATAAACATTAAAAAAATCTTCTAGACAAAATATCCAGCTTGGTTCTCTGTACTTTAAGAATAAGGACTGGGAGCCTAGGTGGCTCAGTCGGTTAAGTACCTGACTTCATCTCGGGTCACCGTCTCATGGTTCATGAGTTTGAGTCCCACGTCAGGCTCTGTGCTGACAGCTCAGAGCCTGGAGCCTGCTTCAGGTTCTGTGTCTCCCTCTCTCTCTGCCCCTCCCCTGCTTGTGCTCTGTCTTTCTCTCTCAAAAATAAATAAACACTAAGAAAAAAAAAGAAGACTGTGTGAAAGGGCACCTGAGGGCTAAGCTGGTTGAGCGTCCAACTTGGGCCCAGGTCATGATCTTGTGGTTCATGAGTTTGAGCCCCATGTCAGCCTCTGTGCTGACAGCTCAGATCCTGGAGCCTACTTTGGATTCTGTGTCTCCTCTCTCTGCCCCTCCCCTGCTCATGCTCTGTCTCTCTCTCTCTCAAAAATATATAAAAACGTTGAAAAAATTTTTTAAAAAAGAATAATGCCTGTGTCTTACCCTCTTTTTTGCCCGTCCAATAAAGTTTAAAGGATATAGTAAAAATTTAATATCTTTAAAACTCTTAAAAATATATTGAGTGCTTGTCACATGCATGACTTCATATTAGACATGAGAGAGTATTTTTATTACACTATCTACACAAGTGTGGAGGCTCATTGAAAAGACAAGACATGCAAGTGAAAATTTAAATTACCACTTTAAACATCAATTAAGTGCCACTACATTTATAATAGTACGATATGAGCTCAGTAAAGGAGAGATTGCTATGAGCTAGTGTTGTGAAAGAAATATTTATGCAGCTGGTAGAAGTTAAATAAAGGTTTGAAAATTCTGACAGGAAGAGACAAGGCTTTCCAGGAGGTGGAAATGCCTGGGTAAAGGAACAGTTGTGCATCTCATGAGAGCCAAGAATTCATAGCCAATGATTTATTGAGCAAAATCTTAAACAGTACTGCTCTTTGCCCCAAGTTCAGCCCATTTCCAACATGTATGTTTCCCCCTTCTATATATACCCCATATTCATCTCTTTATCTGTATCTCATGGGCACAAACCCCTGTTCATATTCTGTTTCAACTATGACAATCATATCATCACTCAACTCCACACCATTAGCACCTTGATGGATCCTCAGTGCTACTTCTGAAGTCCCTTCCATTGACCTGGTTTGCAAAACACCTCATCTCTGGGAGCAGGGAGAAAGGAGAGTTGAAAAATGACAGTTCCTTGAAGACAGGGCACATTTTTTTGTCTACCCAGAGTTGAAAAGCATCAGCCAAGGGCATATGAGGACTTCATCCAAAGAAAGGCAAATGGGTATGGGTATCGTAGGATCCCAGATTATAAAAAATAAAGTATAAACTAAGGCTTTGGCAGCCCAAATTTTCTTCTGAGACTCATGTAATGTATAGGTCTATACATCACAGAAGTAGAGCACCTTTTACCTCCCAGTTACTTGGTTATTAACCTAATTGAAACTCTAGCCAAACTCTGGCTTTGGTTTAGAATACATTCTGTTTGTAGTCAAATCTTAGAAAAGACATGCTTTCGGGGAGCCTGGGTGGCTCAGTGGGTTAAGTGTCTGACTTCAGCTCAGGTCATGATCTCGCGGTTCGTGGGTTCGAGCCCCACGTCGGGCTCTGTGCTGACAGCTAGCTCAGAGCCTGGAGGCTGTTTCGGATTCTGTGTTTCTCTCTCTCTCTGACCTTCCCCTGTTCACGCTGTCTCTCTCTCTCTCAGAAATAAATAAAACATTAAAAAAAAAAAAAAAGACATGCTTTCAGTTGCGGACTCTATTCTCCCACTAAATTTCACTTTAGGTATACCCTGATCATTTGAGCTCTCTTCCGAGATGACTAGTAGTCCCACCAACACAATATAGTAACAATCATATCTGAATTATTTCATTTCTAATAAGCATTAGACTATTACTACTAATGTAGTGAACAGGCAATACCTGTGTGTCTGAAGCTCTATGCTGGATACAACATGCAGAGAGATGAAGAGGACATTACTAATAAGATACAAGATCCTCAAAACTCACACCTGAAGATGTAACCAAAGAAGGACAACACCATCTTAAAAGTACAGAAATTTACAAAGAAGACAGGATCACTGAGGGGAAACTGGGGCAAGGGGAGGACTGTGTCTTGAGGAGTATCAAAAAGACGTGCAAGAAAGTGATATTTAAACTAGATCGTGGGACGCCTGGCTGGCTCAGTCAGTACAACGTGCGACTTTTGATCTCAGTGTCATGAGTTCAGGTCCCACCTTGGGCATAGAGCTTACTTTAAAAAAAAACAAAACTGCATTTAAAATAAATAGGGGTGCCTGAGTGCCTTAGTAGGCTAAGCAACCACTCTTGATTTTGGCTCAGGTCATGGTCTCACAGTATTACGAGTTCAAGCCCCACACGCTGACTGCACGCTGGCTGCACGAGGAACCTGCTTGGGATTCTGTCTCTCCCTCTCTCTCTCTGCCCCTCCACCACTCACGCTTTCTCTGTCTCTCTGAAAAGAAATAAATAAACTCTAAAAATTTTCAAAACAAAAAACAAACTAGATCTCAAATGAGGAAGGAAGGAAGAGAAGGGAAGGGATATATATTGTGCGTGGACTATTTGCCAGACACAAGTGACATATTATCACCTTGCTGCCACCATTTTAGAAAAGCTGAAACTGAGGCTGGTCAGCTGAAGCCACGTGCTAAAATGCCATACAGCCAGCTTCAGATCCAGCTTTGTACGTTCTGTCCAATGTACAAGCTCCCTTCCAAGGACAAGGAAGGATATTTCACATGGAAAAAGGAAAGAATTATCATTGCTACAGTTAAAATTTCTTAAGAGGTGCCTCTTGTAATACTTTACTCATAAAGAATTAACATTTTATGGCTGCAGCTGTAATTTTCTGTCTAGAAAGAGCTTTAAAAACCTAGTCCTTTGAAAAAATGCCTGGCGCTCAAGGTCACTGAAGGGACCTGTGAAACTTTAAAAATTAGATGCAAAATGCTGTGTATATATACATTTTTCTGGGGAAAACGATCAAGAACTTTTGTCGGAGTCCTAAAGAGATGTAGGAACACCTCCTTCCAAAACACTAAGAACTATTGATCTCCAGAGAGTTTTGCTAGGCTTTTTAATGGTTTCCAAAAAGGAAAATACATATGTAAAATTTAGTTCCATATATAAAGAAATACATTTTATAAGTAACAGGAAGGAATATTAATATATACTATTAATAATGTAACCACTTGATAACGAGACATTGAAGGGACCCTTTCTCATGTTCTAATAACTACTCAGGATGTTAACAGTGAAAGGGTCATTTAGAAAGCTAATTTCCTTTTCATCATGCTTGTTAAGTGTTTACTTTAATTCACATCCTGTGTGACCCTATGGGAAAATTTTTAACTAATACTGGGGAAAATCCCATAGGGTTACACAGGATGTGAACTGGGCCCATACTGAACTACCTTTGGCTCAAAAAATAAAATTAGATAGGTGAGTTTCACTTTCTGTTTGTCATAAGTTCCACTTTCTGGCTCCCAAAGTTTAGATTCATAGCCTCTCTGTGTTTCTGAATTTGGCAGCTCAATAAAATCCCAAAATTCTCACTCTTTTTAAGGACTGGTTTCTCAGTGTTGTAGAGCAAACTCCTTCCTGCCGAAAATGCAAATCTGTAGCGCAAATCCAGGCGAGCCTGCTGGAGCACTCCCGCAGTGCTCCTCCATAACTGTGCTCACAGTTCAGCTGTCGTTTTCCATTTCCTGTGGAGAACACACATCATACCACTTCCCCTATAGAAAAAAGAAAGCAGCCAGCTTAATTGCTGATGGAAACACTGTCATACTTTCCACTGGCCAAGCTTGAAACCATTACTGATCTAACCTTCATTAATTTTTCCACAACAATTTGCAGAAATGTCAGGAAGCAGCTGCATGAAAACTGATTAATTGTGCTTATCACCGCTACTTCACCAGGCTATATATATATATTTTTTTCCAGTTTAAAAATAAAATTTGGGATTTTTCTATTTTGATTAGTATTGGTGGTGGTATAACTTATTCTGAAAAACCCAGGTCTATTTTTGACAACTTCCAATGGCCCAACATTTTCAAATCTGAAGTAGACCCCGCGAAGTTTGGGACAGCATCCATGAAGGAAGAGATTGCTTCCTGCTGATTACTCAGTTATATCTGTTTAAACAGACGTTAATGAATTCAAGTCTAGAGCAACACTGCATTTATTAGTCAATCACAGAAGATAAAATTCACTTCCGAAATGTGAATTAGAAAATCAAGTGCCCCTTTTCTATTTTTTTTCACTTTCTTTCTCCCTCATCATTTTAGTTTGAGCTATACCATCTGTCTCAACCTATCAAATAATCTACTGTGCATGGCTGGCAAAAACAAACGGAACAGTACACCTCATAACCCCAAGTATGCAACCAGTGAGCATCTATAATAGTGGTACCAATGGAATCTGGCCATCTGGGGATAACTGGTTTCAGCAAACTTCGCTTCTCAGCCAGCACTCAGATTTGTAGACCTTTAACTAGCTGGCAAAACATCCACTAGTGTTCAAGAAAAGAAACACTAACAAACTCTATTTTTCAAAACACAGGAATTCAGATATAGATTCTCAAAGGTGTATTTGTCAATGTTGCTGACAAGAAGGCTTCAAAAGCAACGATCAGAGCACTGTCATTATCCTTGACATGGAGACAAAGTCGACCCAGATCTAGCATTCTGCAGCGCTACTAAACTTTTTGAGTATGAACACGTTTTTCCTTCTCCATATTGCCTGGATACATACACGCAAGGGATTAAAGCTGAACAGACTTTGAACCAAATGACACAGTACCTTTCAGAGCCAGCTCCAAGAGACTGCAAAGAGTTCTTCCTAGGACTGCAGCAAAATAATCCAAAGGCCGTCTTCACCCCAGATATGTAGGTTCTAACCCCAAACAAAGGAAAACAGAGATCGGACAATAGTAGTGTCAGACTGATTAACCGCTGAACATGTAGCACAGTAGCCCAGATCATGGACTCTGGAACCAGAATCCCTCTTTCAAATCCCACTTCTAACACTTAGTAGACATATAAATAACTTCTGGCAAGTAACTTAACCCTTCTGTGCCTTAGTCTTCCCATCTGTAATATGTGGGTAATAATAACGTTAGGATTGATAAGAGAATCATGCAGCGCTTAGAAATGGCACTAACAAGGAAAATCTATTAGTTACGAATTCTATTATTTTCTGCTGATATTTCAGGTGTGTGTTAGTCTAAAATAAAGAGGGAACTAACTTAGGAAATAAAGATTTCCTAAGTTAATTCAAGAGAGTCTATTGGGCCAGGTGAAAAATCTCCCCTGTTAGTTCGGGGCTACCAGTACTGCCTAAAATACCACCATTAAGACCGGGCCAAGCAACCAGGGTTAACTTTTCTGTTCTTTCTGTTGACTCCCTCAGGTATCTTCGGCCAGCATGCTTTGGGATGTAGAGGGACCTAGAGGCAACCTATCCACTGCTGAGGATAACCACCTCTCACCACCAGCAGCAGGCCTGGAAAGGAGAGGTGGGAGGAAGGCCACCCCAGGCTGAGGAAGTGCAAACAAAGGACACTGACTTGGCCTTCATCACAAAAATCAAAGGGTTTGCTGAATAAAACAAAGGAGCTAATTCCCTGGCACCGAGATCAGGATTGAGGTGCCAGGAGGCCACATGGTGCAGGAAGGATACCTCTTTTAATTCCTGTTGTGCTGTGTGACCTTAAGTAACTCACTATACTCTCCAAGTCTTGACCTTCCATAGAGAAACATGGGTTCTCATATACATAAAACTTCTTAACCTGCTTGCCGCCACAAGCCCCTTTGGCATTCTGATGAAGATCCCTTCTTAGCATAACGTTTGAGCTACATAAAATTAAATACATGGGATTATAAAGGAAACTAAGCATGCTGACATACAATTATCTCAAAAAAATTGAAAACAAATTTGTTGACAGTAATACATGTGATTCTTTATTAAAGATTAGAAACAACATACAGAGCAAGGTAATACCCACTATCATGTTAAGCAGTCACAATCATAAAGATACTTTGAGATATTAGCCACAACAATAATGTGATGTGAAAATATCTGTTATGTGTACTGAGCACAAAGGCACCAATATTGCTAACACTACTGTTTTGTCTGTTGCCTACATTAAGAATGGAGGTGCTGAAGTTCAGCTAGAGGTTAGTGAAAATAAAATTAGAATTTTTTTCTAAATCAAATTCTCAGATCCTCTGAATTCTATTTGTAGCTAAGATCCCCAATGTAGGTAAATAATAAATCCACTTATAATTTTAATGATCTAGGATCAATGATAGAATTGTGTCCCCAACTCCCTCCACAGAGAATATTCACAAAGAACTCTCTTATCCTTTCCAAATAGGTGGAGAGAAACAGATTTACAGATAGAACGGTCCGTCCCCAACCCTATCCAGGAGGGACTTGGAACATTTCTAGGCCCTCTCACCCTATGGCCATGTACAGATGAAGTGGCATCAATATCAGTTAACCACAGCTTCTATTCCAGCCCCACCTGCGCACACAGGACCTCCAGGCCTCTTGAAAAGTCCCAACCAAGTATTTCTAGAATGCCAGCAAGGGAGACTTACAGGAACCCACAGGCAATCTGACAGCGTCAGTCACACCACCATCTGCCATTTCTTCTTTCCAGCACCAGCTCCCCCTAGTGTCTTCAGCATGGAACCCGTCTGCCCCTCTGCCCATAGTGCCCCTCTTGAGAATGCTAATGCCCACACATTTCCACAGCCAGGCCGAAGGAGCCCTTGCCTTGGGTCCCACACTTTAGAAAGCCCACATACCACAAACACACACAAAAGAAATGCATTGAAACATACATATGCACCTCTGTCGCGGGCATCCAAATGTCCTCCAGCCCTAAAAGATCCAGCTCCTGACTACAGCTCTTTAGGCTCCATGGAAACGTTTCTCCACATCTTGGGAGCAATCTCTTTGCCCTTGTCAAAAAGTGACTGAGTGTGAATGCCCTGAAGGCTTGTGGGTTGTGACACGGCCGTGTGGAGTTAGACACCACTTCAAAAGCAGGGGGAAGAAGGTGAGCAACATTAATGCTTAAGTAAAAGAAAACACAGAGTATCTAGTCATGGCTCGTAAATGGAATAAAGGCAATGGACTCTTGTATAACAAAGTACTAAGAAGCATGTCTTTTATTGCTTCTCTTAGTGCTCTGATCAGTAGTTCTGGAATTATCAATACATTAGTGCTGTATTTAGAAAAATTACATGTGGTGCCCAAAGAACATTTTGTAAGTAAACAATTCTTATTATTAAATTAGTGATGATGTAAAGTGCATCAAACATGTTATTAACTCTTTACGTTAACTAAATGAACATTGAACACTAAACCTGCGTATAGATTACTTCAATTCAAATAGTTAAAGAAGACAATAACATTTCCAAAAAAATGTTAAAAATTTCAACTTTGTTTAAATAATTTTGGATTTAAACTGTTTTATACATTCATGATAAAATGGATTTGCCTTTTGATTTTAAAGTTATTCTGGATATTTAATAAAAATAGCTTTTGGAAAATATTTAGCTTGTGAATCTGTACTTACTCTAATTTACATTGCTAATGAAAATGTATTGATATTGTGTATTCTTTGAATATGATTAACATTTTTATATTTCAATCCTTTAAGTCACTGAGAATGCGTACCAATCAAGGAAAAAAAAATGGGAGGAAATCTAAAAACAGTCATTCTGCTTAAAGTTTTTAAGCTAGAAGCAATGAAAGTAAGCAGACTTTTATCAAGCATGACCCACATAAAATTCACTAACAGGACATGACAAATTCTTTATTTAATGACCATTTAATTACTGTTCAAAACAACAAAAATGAGGCAGAAAATTATTCTCATCAAATCCACAACTTGAACAGGTCAGATGAAATCCCTGCAACTTCATATTCTTTATAAAGATTTCATCACTGATCAAGTTAAGAAGAATGTGGGCCTCCAGCTGAACTGAAGGCCCCACACATATTGGCGGCCATAGGCAAATCCCGAGTTGTGTGTTCTTAAGGTCCAAACCAAGCTTGGCTTCTAACCAGTTCTCTCTCAAAACTGTCATTAAAGCAATTCCATCAGCTTTTGGCTCCACTCTTCTTTAGAATCTCAGAAAGATTCCTGTGCCTACTTTGTCGCCATATAATGTGATGGCTCAGATCCAGTCCAAGGAGCTAAGGAGGTAATAGATAACGCCCTCCACTGCCCATCTCGGATATCTTCTGCCCCATCTCAGCCAGATATGAAACCACAGTTAAATAGCACGGAGCGATAGCAAGTACTAGAAGTGAGAGAGGAGGGGATTCTGCGGTCTGAGTCTGATAACTTCCATGCATTTATAGACAAAACTATTTACTTGGTGTACCTTCTTTCCTCCATCTTCTCCCTGCCTCTGAGGCCTTGGCTGACATGTGCTCCACCATCTCCACACCCCTTGTGCATTTCCCCACCAGACTACTAAAATTTAGGCCCAGTAGGAGGAAGAATGGCAGTGAAGGCCAAAAAGAATGAAACCGGCCTTTCACATTTTTGCTCATTACCCAGTTCTGAAACTTAGAGAATAAATCTTGCAGCAAGTGTTTTTCCAACAATTTTCGTGAGCACAATGAATGTACTAATAAATACAGTTATCCTTTTATACTTGGAAGTTTAGAGGAAGGGTATTTCCTAGACATCTGCATTAAGGGATGGACTTCTATAATAATCCATATCAACTTTTATTTAAAGATCTGGATAAAGTCTTGATTTTCAAGTTTTAAACAGAGAAAGAATTTTAGAGGTTTTGCAAATGCATAGAGAAATCCCACTTTATATGTATATATATATGTATATGAATATGTACATAACAATGCAATACACACACATATATATATAAAATCAAGAAGGTGAATAGGTGTATACTGAGATAGGGGAGGACTGAGTTACTTGCTCAAGGGCTATGAAATGCAGATCAAGAAACTAGATGGTTTCTCGATATTTCAATCAATGATCCTTCCAGTTAATCATGCTTTCTACTCCCACAGTTAATTACTGTGTTTATCTGTGGCCATGTAATACTGGTATTATTCAGTTCAGAAATCACTTATTAAGGTTTTGATAATGTTAAAAAGTAAAATCTAGAAATCATTGAGTTATCAAGAGTCATCCTTCTTATAAATTATTCTACATATTATTATTAAATGTATAAATGTAAGGTCTAATTATAATAGATAATACAGAAATTACACAGAACATTTCCAAACTTAATTCTCTAAGATATCTAAAAGAGGGTTTGCGTGATAATGTTATTATGAGTAAAAAGATTTAAAAATGTGTTCTTCAGAAAATGTTAACTAATTGCATCTGTTCCAAAGAATAATTCAGAGTGCGAATGTTAAAATGGAATTTATTTTAATTTGATTTTTTATCAGATTTACAAAATGTATTGAACACGTTAAATATGGTACACTAAAAATAATAAAGGATTATAAATCTAGCAATATTTAAAATAAAGTAATAAATATCTTCAAATAAATGATGTCATTATCTTCATTCACTGGCCCACTTCTATATTTTAAGCAAAATCTTAAGTGGACAGATATTATATCCCATATTTTGTATAAGCCAGTCATGCTGCTTCCAAAAAACAAATAAAAACTGATTTAAAAGTTACTTTACAATATCTGAAACTAGCTCTTTGAAATAAAATTCTTACCTTACGAGAAATTTCCATTGGGTATATGTTTAAACAGCTTAAAAATAAAAGTTTATATGAGGACTCTGAATAGCTCTACTTTTAGTGTAACTAGTAGAAAAGTTGTAGATGACTAACCAAAGTATTTCAGGTCTTGTTCTGTTAGCTGGTACAGGTTCAGAA